ACTCTTTAGAAGATACAAAAACCCAGACTTATTGAAAGTAGATGTTACAAAGGGACGTAAGACAGGCCCTCACGCTGGTACCCAAGAAAACACTTACACCCAGATGTTTTTCTTAGGTACTCAATCCAGCTTTGGGCTCTGTGTCAGCTGTCTCCAGGGTGACCTTGAGGCTACCTGGAGTCCTAACACTGTCCCCAGAGGGTCAACAGCTCCAGCAGCCTTGAGTTCCAAGTATTTGTCAACCTCCTTCCTCCTGCGCCATTTTGCCAGGGCCACATTTGCTGTAATATTTAATATTTGCTTTAAATTAACCTTGCTTCCCATCATGCATATGTGTATGTGTATGTGTGTGATGCATGTGAGATCTATGATACACATTACATATATCATGTATGGTGTCATTCCAGCAATAACAGGGAGGCCATGGTTTTGATGTGCTATGCATTTATTTTCTAATGCACATTAAAATAAATATGTAATTATAAAAAATGTGCTTTCACGAACTGAGTCATTGCACTAATTTTCTCTCTCTCCCTCTCTCTTTTCCTGCACACGGGGGTGCCCCCAGGCCCCACACGCGTTGGGCATGTGCTCCCCCTCCACTGGGCTACCCCGGTCCTCACTGCGCTTGACTTTGACAGCCATCTGCTGGGGCAGCAGGTGCAGCCTGTGGTCCTCTTCCTGGAGAAAGAGGCTTTGGCCCCTGGGAGGTGACAAGCCCAACTCCAGGCCACACCAGCACAGTGGGAGAGCAGGAAGAGACACCAGACCTCCTGTTTCTTCATGGCTTGGGGCACTGACAGATGGGGACAGCTGGGGCCATGTTGGGGTTTCCTTGTGGTACCCCATTTCCACAGCCACCAGCTTACATGTAGTGCTGTTTTCCTTTCCCTCTTGGAGTCACAAAGCTTATCTTTGCCCCAGTTAAACAACAGTTGCTTTGGGACACACACACACACACACACACACACACACTTCTGGGCCATTAATAATAGAGAATCCAAAAACAGCTCACAGATGTCATGACCTGGAGGCTTCTAGACTAAAGAAACACAGTGTTTTCAAGCATGCATAGAGCTCTGGCCTGCACAGTGACTGGGTAAACATTCACCAAGCACCCACACTGTCCCAGGGCCTGGGGACCTGGCAGTGGGCAGGGCCGTGAGACCTTGCCCTCCAGGGGTGCCTTCAGCCACTGGCCCGAAGCCAGGCCTTCCCTGGCCACCCTGCCCTGTGGACAATCGTGCCTCTCCCTCCAGCAACCCTGCCTACCGCTCTGCTTTGTCTACATGGCAACTTCTCCTGGTTGTAGATTTTGCTTTTCTGTTCATCTCTTCCCTCTCCAACAAAGAAGGTGCCTGTTTTTGTGGACTGCTGTACCCTCAATACCTCTAGTAATCTCTCATACCAAGAGGGTCCTCAGTGCACATCTGGAAGGGATGGACATCGAGCAAATAAAATCACACCTACACTGCACGTGTGCACACACACAAACCTTAATTATCTAAATATTCCATGCTAAACATAGGTGCTTCGGAGAATGACAGGGTACTCAGGGGTGGTACATACCAGGTAGCTGGGGAAAACTTCCCTGAGGAAGCTGTGCTTAAACTGAATCCTAAAGTGGATGTTAGAGTTGGTGGGGAAGGATGGTCTTGGGGAAAAGGAATGGTTTCATAGAAGAACAGCATATGCAAAGGTCCTAAGGCAGGAAGGATGGTCATTACCTGCAGAAAAGCAAGAAAGGGTGACAGTGACAGGGAGTGCAGCAACAAAGCGGCTCCTAGATGGCCTAAGAGCCTAACCATGTGGATCTTACTCTAAATAGCACAGGGAACTACAGCGGGGATTTAAGCAGAGAGGTGCTCATCAGATTTACAGTTCAGAAAGACCACCTCCCCACTAGGCAGCAAGGGACCAGGAGTCACTACTGGAAGACCAAGTATGAGGCTTGTCTAGTTTCCAAGTGGGAGATGGTGGGGACAGCAGTGTGGAGCCCTGTGTGGACGGGGTGGAGTCAGGTGGGGTCAGAGGCCATCGTGTGCCTCTGACATTGCTCGGGGACAGAGGCCATCCACCTCTCCTTGAAAGGGCCGAACAGTAAATATTTGTGATCTCACAGGCATATGGGGAGAGCCAGCGAAGCAGGCTGATGTCAGGCACCCAGGGCTGGCCCTTGGCTGGAGTCTGGAAATATGGCTTCCGAGACGCTCCTGGGGTGCTGAGTGCCACGGCTGTTCTGGGTCCCCAGGACACTGAATTCCACTTAGACTGAGACCCGGACCCTTTGCACCAGCAGTGTGATTCACAGGCACACGGGACTCCCCAGGGCTGCGATGATCACATACACAGATGAGCTCTCTGTGTGCTCAACACACACCCAATAGACACCCTGGTCTGAGTGCCGAACAAGTGTCACTGGGCAGAGAACCTGCCCCCTGGTGCTGCACTCAAGGCTGTGGGAGGGAGTGCAGGCAGGGCGCCCCTTCCCTGTGGGAGGAGAGGACAGGGGCAGCCTGTGCCTGAATTCCTGCAGATTCTACCCAGAGGGTCCTTCCTCTTGCTGAAGACAGAAGAAATCACACCAGGAGTGGCATTGCTTCTGAGCCCTGCAGTCTTTCCAGGGAATCACTGGAGGTGTGGGTGGTCTTGGGACCCCAACACAGGGGTCCAGCATGCACTCAGTGGCCACACATAAACACCTGCAAGGCCGTGTTCCATTGCGATTCGATTTATAACAATGGTAGAGGGCCTGGCTTTTGACGATAGGCAGAACCATGAGCTCAGGCTCACGCAGAACCTCAGGCTCTCGGAATCCACTTTGGGAACCACGGGTCGAGTTCAACACTTTCAAATCATGAAAGGAGGAGAAAGAGGAGGAACGTGTGCAAGGTCCAGAGCAGCATCAGAAGCAGCACCTACGTCTCAGCTCACAGCCCGATGTGCTCCCTGCTGCGGCCCTGCAGTAGGCGCTGGTCTGGCAGCCAGGCCCGAGAGGAAGGAGGTGGCAGGACCGGGAGCAGGAGGGCAGAGGAGCTGCCCAGCGAGCCTCCAGCCTCCCCTCCACTTCTCTCCATGAGAGTGAAGACAGGGCTCGAAGGTCCCCAGGGGCTGGGGAAGGAGCTCAGGGGTAGAGTCTGCCTACCACGTGCAATGCCCGGAGCTTCATCCTCAGGGCCAGAAAAAAACAAAGAAAAAAGATGCTAATGTGCTATCTCAGCACCACTGAAACACCATCCCAGGCCTGGGGCCCCAGAATCTTCATTTTAACAAACTCCTGAGTATTCTGACGAGCCGTTAGGTTTGGAAACTCGGGGAATATTAGGACCTCCTGACTGATGACCTCAAGAAGCGAGGAAAAGAAGCCTATGAGCAGAGGCGAGAAGAGGAAATGTGTCCGGGATCAAGGAACAAAGTGCAGGCCGGATACAGATACACAAGCAGTGCTTCGGGGAACATGTTTTCCAAAGATACTGCTTCAACGGAGCCTCAGCCACTGCAGGTTGGTGCAGCCAACAGTATGGAGCTCATTTCCTTCTTCCCAGGGATCCTGCCTGAGATGCAGGATGTGGTGCAGGTGTCCACAGTGCCCTGAGCTACGAGGCACAGCTGACGGGGACAAAAATGAGCCATTTCCATCCCACTGCTCCTCACCCTCACCATAACGAGGTACAGGTGCCCCATGCTAACTAACCAGCACCCCACAAGCGTTTCCACCCAGGCTTCCAAAACCAGGTGGCCAAAAGCCACAGGCCAGATTCCCTGCAAGCTTCCCATTCTAACTGAAAATTATAGGCAGATTCCATGAGATCTATGCTTGTTTGTTTTCATAGAAAAATGGAGGTTTCCTTGCCCACTCCAACATCTGCGTGCCTTGTTCTGCACGCTGGAATCACCTGAGAACTTTTCAGTAACCCTGACACCTGGGACCCAGCCCCAGAGGGGTCCATGTGAAGTGGTCTGGGTTGTGCTCTGGGACTGGGATTTTCAAAAGCTCCCCAGATGGACATTCCTCATCGTGGCGGGTGAGGCTGGCGAGAGCCCTGTTTTTACCAGGCATGTCACCATGTGCCCACCCAGAGAAGGCTGGGCACAAACACTGCTCACCATGCTGGACCCCAAGTGCCTGACCACAGGTGACCAATGGGAGAGCCAATCTCTCCAGTCTGTGTTCTCTGAGATGCCCTCACAAAGAGAACCAAGCACCACCAAGTTCCTCTCACGGACACAAACCCAGAGGTCTGTAATGCTGGGGAGGAAAAAAAGTGTTTGTAATTCTAACGGACCCTGCCTGAAGTGCAGCATTGGCTTCAGTGAGAAGCTCAGGGGTAAGCAACGAACTACAGCACCACTAGCAACAGAAATCCAAGACCCTTTCCTAGCACTGCACAGCTGTTGCAAAACAGCACTCATGCTCTGCAGTGCTTTGAAATCGTGGTACAGCACCCCTACTCCAAAAACCCAGAGTGCTTCCAAATCTGAAACTTCTCAGTGCCAGCTGTCACTGCAAGCGGGAAGCCCCGCACCACGAAACCTTGCTTTGTGCATAAAACTACTGAAATTGTTCTATAAAATTCCCTTCAGACTGTGTGCTCAAGGTGTCTATGAAACAAACGAATTCCATGTTTAGATGCGGGTCCCATCCCCAACATATCTCATTATGTACGTACAAAATATTTCAAAATCCAAAATGCTGCCCCAAATTCGAAACAGTTCTGGTCCCAAGCATTTTGGAAAAGGGATACTCAACTTGAAGTTATCAGACCTGTGGCTGGATCTTGCTATTTAAGAGACTGATAAAGAAGTACATACCTTACTATGTTATAACTTTGCCTTTAAAACCATTTCTCTAATTGCATTCTAATATATTTGATTTCCTACATATTTAATTGATGCATTTAAAATGATTATCCTGAGAAGGAGTCCTCAGGCTTCCAGCTGTTTAACTGGCCACTGAGTCTCAGCAGCTAGTGGCCCGCTTTGGAGCAAGCAGCCCTTACCTGTGGGTCAGAGAGCCGGGAGATGTCAGGGTACAGGTAGAACTTGATGCCTTCAGCGGCCCCCGGCAACGTGACCCCTCGGATCAGGAGGATGAGAAGCATGACATAGGGGAAGGTCGCGGTGACATACACAACCTGCCCAGGAGAGAAGAGGACAGATCAGGACAGGTGCCAGTGACAGGCTCATTTAACGTATCATGACACCCTGAAGTCCGTTCGCCCTGCTGCTCATCACAGGTTGTCCTTTTGGAAGGCTGAGTAGTGCCTCACTGTCCAGTTACACAACACTGACCCTACCCACGTATCCGTGTCCCAACCTCAGAGAGACTCCTGCAGTCAACATCCAGGGAGGACTCGCTCCCACAGACACACACTGCCTCATGCAGAATGAGGCAGGACATGCGCAGCACTGACACACATCCTCCAGTCTACTTTAAATCAACTCTGGATGACATAGGACACCTAATGCAATGTGAACACCCCTGTGTAAATAGTCATAGATCCTGTTGCTGAGGGAATATGATGGAGAAAGACATCTGCATGTTCAGTCCAGAGGCAAATCTCTTTCCAAATACTTTCTACCCAAGGTTAGTGGAATTCACGGATGCTGTTTGGTTTATACCTATGGTTTACGTCCCTCAAAGCCGCATGCACTCATAGGCAGGGCTCTGGGCAGGTCACTGGGTCACGGAGGTGTGTTCTCATCAGTGGGTGAGACCACTGCTGAGGTTACGACTGAGGGTGATGCTGGGAGGTGAAGCCTGGAGGGAGGAGGTGGTCCCTGGGGGTGTGGCCTGGAAGGGCTCATTTCCTTCCTGCTTTCTGGCTCTCTCTCTGCTTGCCATCTGTTTGTCCTCTGTGATGCCCCCCGCCATGATGCCCTGCTTGGAGCCAGCTGACTGTGGATGAAACTTCTACAGCGACCCCAAATCAACTTCTCCTCCTTAGAGTTGCAGGTGTTTGTTACTGTATCTCAGCAATGACAAAATAACTAAGACAGATGCTGAATCTGTGGATACAGAGGGCTGTCTATACTGCCTGACCCCACTTAAATAAGGTACCTAACACAGTGGTTCACAGAATCAAAGCATGATGTGGAGGCTGTGGGTGGGAGAAAGAGGAGGTCCCTAATCAATGGGCACAAAGCGAGCTCCAGAGATCTGCAATGCACCATTGCACCTGGGGTCCAAGGTCACACAGAGCACAGAGTCATGCTGGGGGTACAGTTCATGTCAAAGTTCTCACCTCACTACAATAAAACAGAATTTTAAAAGAAAAACAGAGGGGCAACAGTGGGGGGCCCATGGGGAGCAAAGGGCAGCACAAAGACAGGACCCCAACACCCTGCTCCCTTGCCTCGTTACCATCAGGGCTAGACCTGAGCTGGTAGGGGATGTTTACAAGGGCCCCTCCCATGACTGTCAAATGTTTGTGCCCATGGTCACAGAAAGAGACATCTGTCACAACCCAGTACACGTAGCTGGAAAGGACGTTTCACAGAATCACTGACATGTGTGCTGCAGGCTGATACCAGCTCTCACACTGATTCATTTTGGTAACAAGCTGGTTGGTCGTGATCCTCTAAATCCATTTCATAACTCATCAAAGGGCCAAGACCCACATCTCTGAAAAATAGTGCTCTTGATAAAAATCAAAGTTTTATAAGCAAGGATAGGATAGAATAAGGGAGGGGAAGGGGGAGGGGAGGATAGGGGAGGATAGGATAGGATAGGGGAGTGGGGAGGGGAAGGGAAGATAGGAAAGGATAGGAAGAGGAAGGGATAGGATGGGATAGGATGGGATGGGATGGGATGGGATGGGATGGGAAGGCATGGGATGGGATGGGAATGGAAGGGAAGGGAAGGGGAAGGGAGGGGAGGGGATAGGATAGGGGAGGAGAGGGGAGGAGAGGGGAAGAGAAGGAAAGGAAGGGGAAAGAAGGAAATGATGGGGAAAGGAGGAGGAAAGGAGAAAGATAGGTGAAGATGGGGGGAAAGGAAAAGAAAGGAAGGAGAGGCGAGGGGAGGGAGAAGGGGAGGGAAGAGGAAAGAAGATGGGAGGGGAGAGAAAGGAAGGGGAGGGGAGGGAAGAAAACTGGCATTTGCCTCAAATCCTTCTGGCTTGGTGCTTGGACCCAAAGAGATGGAGACCCTTTCAGCTGGCAACTTTGGTATAAGGACTGAGACCCTGAGAAACACCCACCCCTTGCCTAGGGGGGTCACTCACTGGCCACGCCCTCCTCCCCATCTCATCCAAGGTCCTGCCAGGACTGATGTGTCTGCTTTGTCACCTCCTCTCCTCCTCCAGTCACTCAGCTTTGTCCCTGGGTGGGGCCTGCTTGCTCCATCTGCTTAGAACATCAACCTGTCAACATGCAGGGCCAGGGACCCTCCTGAGACGAGGAGGGAGCTCTGGATCTCCCCCAGATGCACAGAGACGTGTGCAGGCTCCCCACAGGCTCCAACTCAGGTTCCCCAGGTGAACGCATGTCGAGACCTCCACCTCTCGTTCACCCAGCACGTCTTCCACAGTGGCCCAGTCCTCTCCACTCTCCCATCCGCTTGCTCGCTCACTCACTCAGCCTCTCATCCACCCACCACACACTTGCTCCAGCACCAGAGACACTCCTGTGTGCCGAAGACGGAGCTATGTCCTGAAATATACAAGTAAGGATGAATCACAGGACAGGAATTTCTGTCCCAAGAGGCTTCCAGCTGATAGAAAGGACAGATGTGTAGACAGGTAGACAATGCACTGTCATCAGAGGTGGGAAAAGGTGCTGGAGTACAGAGAGGAAGCAGTCAGGGAGAGATTCTCGAAGGTGACCTGGATATTGGTGCACAGTGGCTGGTCTGGAGCTCAGGACCTGCAAAGTAGGAATGGAAGAAAGACGGAACAAAGTTCCTGCTATATGCCATGCCCACATCACACACACATAACAACGATGGCTACATTTATCAGAACTTCACCACCCCAAGTGGTTCTGCTCTGAGAAGCACAATTTCCTTCTTCTTACACATGAGAAAGGTCAGAGAGCTCACCAGCCACTTGTCCAAGGTCACCCAGCTACAGAGTGACCACCGGATGTAGGACTCACAACAAGGCCTGGTTGTCTCCAGTCATGTATTCAACCCTCGGGCTATGAATGTACCTCTCAGATAGCCATGCAAACTCTGTGTCTTTCTGAGCATTTCTGGGAAGAGATGCAGAGAAGTCAAGTCATTCTGTTAGCACCTGCTGTGGTTTGGATCTAAAATGTCCCCCGATTCTTCAGAGTGTGGAAGGTGACTGATTACAGGGGTGCTATACACATGGGTGGGTTCACCCATGGACGAGCACCACAGCTGATGCACTGTTAGAGGTCCAGCCTGGCTGGAGGTGGGACACTGGGGATGTGAACCAGAAGGGTGTATTCTTGTCTCCAGCTTGGCTCTCTCTTTCTGCTGTGCTTCCTGGTCGCCATGAGCTGAGCAGCTCTCCTCTGCCAGGCCCTTCCACCAAGCTCTTCCTGCCTTGGAGCCCGCTGACAATGGACCAAAACTGTGAGCCAAAATACACCTGACACTCTGAGGCTGGGTTGTCCCAGTGTTGGGAAAGTGACCCAGACAAGACCTGACACAGCAGCGATTTGCATTTAGACCTCAGAAAATAAGAAATCAGCATCAGCAGAGGGCCGTGACAATGGGCTCTATGGGCACAACCTGGAGAGCTGGATTACTCTACCCAGACTCCACCCCTAATCTACAATGATGACACCACCCCAGCCCACTCGGTTCCTAACCTACCAACTCTGCATCCCCGTTTCCAAATCCACCATTAGCTCAATCTATGTATCACACAATCAACACACACTCTTGGGACAGAAATTCCTGTCCCGTGATTCATCCTTACTTGCATATTCCAGGACATAGCTCCGTCTTTGGCACACAGGAGTGTCTCTGGTGCTGGAGCAAGTGTGTGGTGGGTGGATGAGAGGCTGAGTGAGTGAGCGAGCGAATGTGAGAGTAGAGAGGACTGGGCCACTGTGGAAGACGTGCTGGGTGAACTAGAGGTGGAGGTCCTGACACGCAGGTGTTCACCTGGGGAAACTGAGGCAGGAAGACTTCTGCCAGTTTGAGGCCAGCCTGGGCTACACAGTGAATTCAAGACCAACCTGAACTACATAGGGAAACCCTGTCTCATAAACAAAAGAAAGAAAAAAGTAAGTGGCCAGCATTCATTAAAGACTGATGGCTCTTGCCTGTAGAGTTAAAATGCTATAAAATCTCCAGTTAGACTTAGCTTCCTCAGCAACATCTATGAGAGTGCTTCAGTATTTCATACACATTATTCTTTTTCTCCAAAATGAATCCCCCCAGTCAGCTAGCTTAAGGCCATTAAAAGTTTTGTCAAGGCTAAAAATCTGATGCTTCCGCTGAATAATTTCCACTTTCTTTGCTGTCTGACAGATTAATACCCACAATGTCAGGAGCTGCCCTGTTCTAGATCCATGATGTCTCTCCAGCTTGGCTCCCTTAACTTCCCATGCTTACATGATTTAAGGAAAAGAACATTAACATGTAAAACATAAGAACTACTCAAAATCATAGAAATGTGTCCTTTACCTGGCAGACCACTTTGATGTGACGAAACATGTGAGTTGTACTATGCCTGTCCTTTACTGAGTGGCCTGGGGAAGGGTGTCATTTAAAATCTGGCCCAATGTACTCTCACTGAGTCCAGGGTACATAAACAGAACATTGTCCCTCAGTCACCGTGATGGCATTATTTATTAAATGTCTGGTGATTATTTTGAAGCATTTCATCATTTAGAGTTCTGGGTCAATGCTCTCTTCTGTATCACACTTAGAAGAGCCACATTTCCTCTACTGGTACTCATGCCTTCATTTTTATATTCATTTTCGAAAACCATCAAGGAAATAAAATAGTCAAATGAATTGCCCAAAGATTACAGTCCAGATGAGTTTAACTGCCAAAAGGAAACCACAAGCATGCATTTCCCTAGAGAAATTAATTGTAAGCTCAGACTTGAGAGCTTCAAGTCAGGGTATAAAGCAAGGGCTGTGGGGTGCCACAAGAAGAAAGTGGTAAAAGATTGGAAAACACAACATGAGGACAGCTCATATCTGTCATGG